GGGGGGGGGTGGGGCCCCACCTCCCAATCCCTGCGCAGTCACTCCAGCGAAAAGACTAAGGCCAGACTTGTTCAAGACCTAAAAGAAGACAGGCGGCAAGCTTCCTTTGCTGCTGGCCACGCCAAACCCTACCAAGGTATGAGAAAGCTGCTTCTGGCCATCAATTTTGAAGGCCTCGCATTTTCTCTGTCCCATCCGATGACACCAGCCTCCTCCTGAGCAAGTGTCAAGCGTTTGTTTGTGATCGCCTGGTCGCAGCCCAAGCCTACCTGAGCCTTTCACCCGAGACCATGGACGGCGTTAGCATTAATGCCAAGACCATTCCTTTGCAGTCTCGCCCCATGAGCTCGCGCGCAATGTACGTTTGCACGCCCAAGGTCCCATGCCGCTAAGAGCATCACACGACCCTCTCACCCTGGGTCTGGGTCTTGCCTGAACATTGTCTATCATAGGACTGCGCGTGGTGGCTCTGGCCGTCGCCGGCTCACGCCTCCCAACTCCTTTCACACACGACTGGCTCAACGCATGTATCGGCTGCAAACCACTGAATCAGATCTCTCGCCCGAGGGCCCACACGTGTCGGACCAGCCGCCAACCGTGGCCTCGCTCCTTGCACTCTAGTCTGACCCCAACTTAATGCGACCCCTCCACAACCATCCCGAATTGGCACGACGTCCAGCCTCGATGACATCAAAGGCTGGCGTCTCTAAACGCAGCCTCCCATTATGCATATGCCCGAGTGATAGCCGAGTCTGAAGCGGCACCTCGCTCTTTTTCGCCTTGTTCTTTTTACATCATTTTTTTTGGTTCTGGTTGAGTGTGAGAGTCTCTCGGCTCGCCCTCGTCTCCCTTGATTTTCGCCTTTGCAGACGGCCGTCACGCCTCGGCTTGGCTCGTTTTTCTTCAGTCTTTCGGTTGTTCCATTGTTAAATCTTGATGGTTTGTTCAGCACAGTTGAAGATGTTAATAGATTTCTAACCGCACTCAGCCTCGAGGGAGAAACGATTGAACACGAATGGGGCAAGACGAGCAGGCTGTTGAGACAATGAACACTTTGGCGAGAATGCCAGGTGGTACGGGCAGCAAAGGCTTGAGGGGCCCTGTCCTCAAGGCTCTCCACCCACATCGTGTCAGATAACTTAGGATGTTAAAAAATGGCAAAGGGGAAAGGAATTGGTAGCCATTGAATGGACAAAGTGGTTTACAGGAAGCGAGCCAAACTGTGACAGAGCAACGCAGCGCAGGCTGTTAAACTTATCCAACCCAAGGGCGGCGACACGCTAACGGCCGCGCCCAAATCGCCGGTTTGCTCAATCGTAAAGACCATTGGATTCTGGGTCGGCATGCTGTCACCGTCATCGTCATCGTTATCGTCATCGTCATCGGGCGGCTGCTCAGAGCGGTCATCATCACCGTCACCCAAGCCTCCATCCTGATCGTCGTCTGGTTGCTTAAACGCCTGCTCCATGTCGGTGACAGCCGCGCTTAGCTGAAGGAGGTCTGACGAGGACAAGCACGCGTCCCAGACGCCCACCCAAGCCACATCCATTGCCACATGGGTACTCAAACTAGCATCAGAGCCAACTGCAATCTGAGACAGAGACAAAGCCAAGGGCATCTCCTCTTGCCAAAGGTCGGTTTCGTTGAGGCTCATGATGGCCATGCCGTCGCAATAACGTGCACCCTGCAGGATCCAGCCCGCTTCGGCGCCTACAACACCCGATTGCTCAATCAAGTTGGTACAGAACGTTTCGACCATCAACTCTCCGCCTGGAGACGCTGCCGTGGAACCACCGGTGCTGACCCCAGGCCCAAAGCTGCCCACACATGTGGGCTCGCCCAGCACCACACCACCCCAGCCGGGGCCGTGATAACGCACCAAGGCCACCACTGTGAGCTCCCCATCGCTTTGAGCCACCGCCTGCCCGACGGACGGATCCAGTGCACCCGAGCGCACGTTGTACGCCCCATCAAAGACTGCAAATCGCCATGGGGTGCTGGCAAAGGACTCGTCGAGTGTAGGGAGCATGGCCCCCGTCGCAGCCGCCCACGTCACTGGTACGCTGGCTGGGTTGTCCTGGGCACCCGGGCTCGCTATGAGGTGCCCATCTCCGGGGACCAGGTCAAAAGCACCGAGTTCAAAGAGAGGGGATCGTTCCACGGCTGCCCCCAGGGCCAAATGGCACTCGCCGTCTGTCCGGTAGGTCACTGTCAGATCAGCATTACGAGTCACGTAAAAGTTCACGCCTCCCGCATCAGCTGTCCATACAAGCTTGCCACTGGCCTTGATGTGCCGAGCCAAGTGCACGCCAGCCGCGCAAGCGGATGCCGGTGCCGTCAAGCGATGCTCAAAGCGCCGGGCCGTTAAAAATGTGTCCGGGTTGGCGCGCGTTTCGCCGTCTAACAACATGGTGTCTGCTGCGACCACGCGCCCGGCATTGGCTTGAGCCCCCTCCACCACGACACGAATGACCACCTCAGCTAGGCGTGGCTGGAGCTCGTATTGAGCAAACCCGCGTTGATTGGTGGCGGCATCGTGTGCTTCCACCGTCACGCGCAGTGCCGTGTCGTTGCTCCACGCATGTCCATCCCAGGGAACAGCATACGTCAGGGTTGCATTGGGCGTGGCGGGAACCAGCCGATGCATGTGGTTGGCATGGTGCATGAAAAGCCTCCAGGTATACTGCGGGGACTGCGGAGCTGAAGTGGAGCCTGAGGCGGTCGCCGAGAAGCTGACGCTCTGCCCGGCCTCGAACCTGCCTCGGCTGCTGTGGATCTGAAGATTCAGCACCGGACCCGCATACACCTCAAAGCTCTGGATGGTATATTCGGGCACGCCACCCAAGTAAGCCACGGCCTCGATCATGTATGTGCCCACGTCGTCCAGCGTCCAGCTAGATACGGCGCCCAAGCGTGAGCCGTTGAGATGCCACTCGATGGTCCAGTCTGTGAGCGCGTCCGTGTCTGGGGCACCCAGGTCTAGGATGAGGGGTGTGGGACCGGCCAGCGGGGCCACGAAGAGCTCGTCAACAGCCAAGGAGGGTCCACCCACGCGCACGCGGCGAACCTGTCCCTCGAGTGTGGTGTACACCAGCGTGTAGTCGGGTCGGGTCATGACATGCAGGGGAGAGCCGATGGTGTGCAGTACCACGGTGCTGGGGCCAACCGCTTGGCAGCCAGTGCGGGGAACGGCGTTCAGCGTCTGGCGGGCGTAATCGAGGAAGATGAGCTGGTTTCCCAAGCCCTGGTACCAGTCGTTGCCCGTGAGACCACCACCCATGACGCAGCTACTGAGGCCCAGGTGCTGGTAAGCGTGCACTGGGTCCACTTGATCCGGGCAGGCAGAGCAAGCACCTTCCGCGTTGTTGCAAGGTCCCTCACAAGCGGGCCACCCGTATGAGGCCCCCAGGAAAATAGCCATTGATCTCCTCAAAACTGTTGCTGTAGTCATTGCCGCCCACGTCGAACATGAGAAAGCCCTCGTCACAGGCCAGCATGGAGAGCGGGTTGCGCATGCCTGTGGCGATGCTGGTGGTGGGTGGTGCGGGCGTCACACCAACGACATCCTCGGGCGCGATGCGGTAAAGCTGCTTGCCAGTCACCGTTTCCGTGGGGTATGTTTTATCCCCCACAGCCACGTAGAGGGCTCCATCGGGGGTGACGGCGAGGCCGCCTCCGTAGTGGTATGGCCCCAGGTAGCCCTCGGCATCCTGAAACAAGAGGAGAGCCTCGGCCCACGTCGCCTGGCTTGTGTGGCCACCCGAGTTCTCGTGGTGCGTGAGGCGAAAGACACTGCAGGCTGCGGGTTCATTGAGGCAAACGTAGACAAAAACATATGGGTGGTTGGCCAGATCGGGGTGGACGGTCACAGCCAAGAGGCCGCGCTCGCCGTGCAAATTGACATCGGGGATGGTGACATAAACAGATTGCGTGGCGTCTTCCACGTGAATCAGGGTCAAGGCGCCGGAAATTTGGGCTACCAGGATGCGTTGCGCATCAATGGGTGCAGCAGCGATCGGCGTGTTGAGGCCTTGGAGCACGAGTTCGTCTTGAAGTGCGTGCAGAGGGGCCCATAGAGCCAAGAGGAGTAGGAAGAGCTGCGCAAGCCCGCGCCGTTTGCACCCGCCGACAGATGGTCGCATGCTACTTTTTAAAGTGTGAAACGCAAGGAGTGGGGCGAGCAAAAACAAGGGAGCGGCGGAAGGCCGAGGTACATTGAAAGGCAGCTCTAGTTGTGCTAGGCGGCTGGGCACGGGGCGCAAGGCACGGCAGAGCACTCGGGGCTCTGTGTGAGCGCGTCTTGCGCCAGGGATTCCAAGAAAAAGCCCAGAGTCGTGGGAGTTTTACTTGTTTCAGCCCTGACGGCACCTGCACAACTCGATTGGCACCAAATGCCGCGTTGCCGAGCGACTTGCGCGCGTAAACAGCGACAACGCTTTGCTTGATCCGAACATGAGGCCACAGCCAAGTCGGGCAGCGACGACGGCAGCGGCGACGCGAAAGCGGAAGCGCAGTGGAAAATGGTTCTCACACGGGCCAGCCCACCTGCCGTGCATCACCCAGGCCCACCTCAGATTGACCATGAACCGACTTTTGATGCCGTGTCGGTGATGATGTTTGTGTTGCTGCCATTCTGTTCAGCCAAGCGCAGCGCCCAAACCGTGCATGCATGCAAATGCAAGATGTCTTGGGACATTTGTAATTGTCAGGCTTTTAGTGGCGAACGCAGTGAATGCCGTGCTCGCGCACGCAACACACACACACACACACACATGCGCGCTCCTTTTTTTTTTTTTTTCTTTTCGTGGTATCGTTCGGGATGAACGCCAGCCCGAGGACGGCAACGACGACCTTGTACGAGGAGCTGGGGGTGCCGGATAACGCGGCCGAGGGCACGATTCGCCGGGCGTACTATCTCTTGTCCAAGATTCATCATCCCGATCGGCAGAACGGGACCGATGGCACGTCTGCCTCGACGCCAGAGCGCTTTCTTGCCATCGCCGCTGCCTACAAAGTGTTGATCGACCCAGAGCAGCGACGTCGCTACGACGCCGAACTAGCCGGTACGCGCTTGAACCGTTGTTTTTGGTGAACGTGATGGAGGGGCTGCGACCTTGCTGAAGCTGCATTGTACTCACCTTTGGTGTACCAGGCTCCAAGCGCCAGCTGTTTCCGGTGCAAGATGACATTGAGCTTGAAGACATGGACCTCGAAGAGGGTGAGTTCCTCGATCGCTTGCCCGGGTTGATGCGCATCAAGGCGCAGTTGACGTGGTTGTACACCGGCATGCACCATCCGTCCCAGCTGTCGTTGACCTCTCACGCTCTCTACCCCCACCCCGTGCTGGCGACCTGGCGTACGGCTAGATGCTTATTACTATGCCTGTCGGTGTGGTGAGGAATACGTGTTGACCCAGGAGGAGGCGCGAGCCACGTCCTGCCACATCCTCACCTGCCCGCAGTGCTCTCTCACCATTCGCGTCTACACCGCCCTCTAACTAACCAGCGCCTGCCTTGGCTGGGACAAGGCAGGGCGTCATGGGTACACGAGATGACAGGCGTAGTCTTGGGTGATCCTTGTTTTATTTTTTGGGGTTTTTTGTAAGGGTGCTTCTTGCCCTGTGAGCACTGCTTCGGCCTGGTCGAGGCATGATGAAACTTTTGCTCCTTTGAAAGCTGAGCTTTGAGGAGAGGCGGCCCCTGTTGTCTCTGGCTATCAATCTATTGATCGACTCTTTGCAACCTGGGTTGTTGTTGAGCGTCACCCCACACATGCACATTTACAAGCCAACCTTATCAAAGCATGGCCCATAGCGGCTCGACTCCATCACAATAATCGATTGCGATACCCGTGTGATGGCTAACACTGGCCAGTCCGAGGGCGACGAGCCAGTCCGAGGGCGACGAGCCAGTCCGAGGGCGACGAGCCAGATGTTGGTGAGCGCGTGGGCACCTAGGACCTGACCATGGACGAGGGACACTGTTCAAGGGCGTGTCTAAGTTCCACGCTTTTTGATCCCGCGGCTCGTGTCGGGCACGGTGGCAGAGGCGTCCTCGCCCATGATTTGTGCACGAATCGCAGCGTAATTGCGCTGGCGCTCCATCAACTGCAACGACCCAAAAGCAATGCACAACAGAGCAGGGACCGCCATTCAAACCCAGTTGTGAGTACAACGACACCTTTTGGGGAAGACAAGGCCATCGGTCATGGCCAGTCCCAGCAAAGAAGGCGCAAACAGCAGACGTACATCGGGCTTGGCGATGGTGGGCTTGGCCGTGGTTGGTGCCTTTTTTGTCTGTTCGGGCCGCTTCATGATCTTGAGCTACAAAGCCAAGCACCTGTCAGCGCACGAGCCTCGGGTGCCCGACGAGGCACTCTTCACAGCTGAATGCTATTGGATGCCGGTGACACACCTGTGGCACAAACTCAGTACGTGCTGAATCGACCTGGACAGCATTTTCCCTGTTTCGGTTTGTACAAAAACGCAAACACCAATGGCCCCCGGGGCAATGATGGCCCGCACGAGGGTCAGCATCGATGAGCTTGGTCACGAAACGATACACCAAGCCCAAGCACACATTGGACGCACCGCCACCTCGCGCGAGGATCTTGAGCCAATTGTTGAGCCCGCTGAAGCTCAACAGTGCTATGTGGATCGGGAACAGCGCTTACAACCGGGGCCTCGACAGCCGGTGCGGCAGTCTCCTGATCGTATTGCTAAAGCAGCGCATAAAACCGGCAAGCGATGAGTCCCGAAACTGGCCCGCACACGCCCTCGCTCACGCCCTCGCTCACACATCACGCATTGTACAGCACAAGAAACTTACACCGGCATCGGCCGCAGCCTCCCAGTCATCAAAGGGCTCATCCTCACTCTCCGACGACATGTTCCATTAACGGCCCCCCTCCCCCCAACAGCTCGTCTCGACCCCTCACCCCCTTCACCAACGCCGTTCGAATCACACACGCGGCCGGTGAGAACCAGCAGAAATGTGTGTGTGAGAGAGAGCGCGAGAGAGAGGGAGGAGAAATGTGAGAGGGAGGAGACATGTGAGACAGAGAGAGAGAGAAAAGAGAGAAAGAGAGAAAAGAGTGTCTCTCTCCTCTCTCTTCTCTCTCTCCCTGATCTCTCTCTCTCTCTCTTCTCAATAATCTCTTCATTCTAACCAATTCACCTCTCTCTCTCTCTCTCTCTCTCTCTCTCTCTCTCTCTCTCTCTCTCTCTCTCTCTCTCTCTCTCTCTCTCTCTCTCTCTCTCTCTCTCTCTCTCTCTCTCTCTCTCTCTCTCTCTCTCTCTCTCTCTCCTCATGTGGTAGTTGTGCTTTTCCTTTGTGTCTTTGCTCTTTACTTCTCTCTTTCTCAAACCGACCAAACCAATTCTCTCTCTCTCTCTCTTTTTCTTTTTCTATTTTTAGTCTGACATCCCAAAACGGCTCGAAGCGGCACATTATGATGGACGGAGTTTGAAACGGCCTCAACGACTGGATGGCAGAGTCAGGAGAGCGGTGAAGCGGGGGTCATGGCCGCAGCACGGGACAGCCAGCATGAGGACGGGGGGGCGTTGAGTGAGCCTGGTTGGCTTTTGGGTGAGGATTTGGACTCGAATGACGTGGCTGATGACGATGAAGAGCTCTTGGCTGCCCATGAGGCTCGCCTTTGGGCTGGCGACGAGGACGATGAGGAGGAGGAGGAGACGGGCACGGGTGCCCTCAAGCCTCCCCAAGAGCCGCTTGGCGCGAGTGATGGTGCTGCTTTGGACGAGGCCATCGTGGCCGCACGCAGTGATCAACAGGGATCCGACAGTGCCCGCGCTGCCTCGGTCTGGGGCCGTCGTAGCGGAGCCGCAGCAACGGCGTCCGGCTTGGATGACGCTGTCCTGTCACGCATTTCCCTCTGCCCTCACAAAGCTGGCATGGATAGCGTCAACAAGAACAAAACCGACGAGGTGATCCGATCCATGTCCGAGGGCTCGCGGTTTTATGACAACGAGCGTCGCAAGGCCGCGCAGACAGCGCAACGCGTGCAGGTCATGAAATCTCGGGCAGCCGTCCTCTCAACGGGGGCCCTGCAGCAAGCCGAGGCGATGGCCTCGGCTTTTGAGCGCCAGCTTGAGACGGAGCGTGATCTCTCGCGGGTCATTGTACACTGCGACGCAGATGCTTTTTATGCCGCCGTAGAGTTGCGGGATCAGCCCCACCTGCGTGGCAAGCCCATTGGCATTGGTGGCATCGGCATGCTTAGCACGGCGTCCTACGAGGCTCGCAAATTTGGCGTGCGAAGCGCCATGCCTGGCTACATTGCGCTTCGTCTCTGCCCCGAATTGATCCTTGTCAAGCCGCGCTTTCATGCCTACGAGGCCGCCTCTCGCCAACTTCAAGCCGTGATGGCTCAATACGACCCAAATTTTCGATCTGTGAGCCTGGATGAAGCCTACCTGGACATTACCGATTACATGGCTCGACTGACCCCCGGCGACGTGGCCCAGCTGCCCCCTCTGACAACTGTGGCCGATCCACCCTTGGTGCAGGAGGCAAACAGCGCTGATTCAAAGCCCGGCATGGCCACGGATTCCGCTGGAGCCCGCAACCTGACCACCCTGGAAGGCAGGGCCTTGGCAGCCCGCGTCGTGCATCAAATGCGAACCCGTATGCACGAAACCACTCAGCTTACCGTCTCTGCCGGCATTGCCTGTAATCGCATGCTGGCCAAAATTGGTTCCGATCAAAACAAGCCGGATGGTCAGTTTTGCTTGCCGGCCGACCGAGCAGCCATCTTGGCGTTTTTGGCCAACATGCCGACGCGTAAAATTCCAGGCATTGGCAAGGTGACGGAACAAATCCTCCGTGAGCTCGACATTACAAACTGTCAAGCCCTTCTACAGCAGCGAGCTCTCCTCAAACTGGTGCGTGCGAATGAGACAGAGGGTGATTGAGATGTGCAGGAGCAAGGGTTGTCGCCCGGCCGGGATGTGATGACGTGTCGTGCATCGCTTGAAACGTGAGTATCTTGAAGGACGCACACGCACACCTCATGCACCCTTGATTGTAGTTGTTTACGCCCATTTCCTTCGATTTCTTTATGCGGTCGGCGCTCGGCATTGCTTCCAACAACACTCGCAAGCGCTCCGAGCGGAAGAGCATTGGGTACGAAGGCACAGATGCGAGGCCCATGTTCATCGGTGGGCATCAATAAACCCTGATGTGCTGGGCATGCTGGTTTTTAGGCATGAAACGACGTTTCGCGAGCTCAATCAGGTACCAGATCTCGAGGACAAGTGCCTACACCTCTGTCACAAGACGGCTCTTGACATGGAGCGAAAGGCTTTGGTGGGTACTCAAGCTTGCGTTTCCTTTGCCTGCATTCATTCCATTCTTTGGGTTGACGCTCACTGGGCTGCTTCCTACAGCTGGGGCGCTCCGTCTGCCTCAAGCTCAAGACAGTCGACTTTAAGGTCAAGCAGCGATCAGTGTTGCTGCCTGCGCATACGGCGGACGAGCCGGTCATCAAGCGTGCTGCACTCGGGCTTCTCCATCGAGAACTAGCCGCCTGTCGCGCTGCCAAAACCCAGCTGCGCCTGCGCCTCATGGGTGTACGTGTCACGGACCTCCAAAGCAGCAGCCACCAACGTGATCAAGGCGGGGTTTCGAAACGAGACGAAGAGGCCAGCCACCCGCTGGGCTTGGCTAGCACTACGCTCGATCGCTTTTTTCATCGTGCCGCTGAAGCGAGACGCCCCAGCTCCGAGGCGGAGACTGCTCCGGCAACGAGCCACGCTCCAACCTCTGCAGGTCTACAGTCGCAGTCTCGGGCCTCCCTTTCAACTGGGGCCGCTAATAAAGTTGATCAGCCCGTGACTGCAAGCAAAGCCCCTGCCAATGGGCTTTGGAACTACGTCGAGCGCACAAAGCGCACAAAGGTTGTCTGTCCCGTGTGCCAACAAGCGTTGTCTGTGGTTGATAATCGTGAGCTCAATGCTCACGTGGATGTCTGCTTGAATCGCGACGTGCTGCGCACCGTGGTTTCGTGATGTGCGGTATTGACATGTGAATTGACAGTAATTTGTTGTGTGCTGTGGCCGCGCATCAGGCAAGCAGAGAGAAAAGTTGACGAAAGACGTGATCAATTAAATTTTGGTTGGGAGAAACAAAGAGAACGAACAATCCGTGGCACACAAGCGCAACCAAAGCCCGCGGTGCATGGCACAAAACACGAAATCTTCTTTGACAGAGATCTGTCAAGAAGTTGGTTGTGCAATACACCAAGAGAGCCAACCCCAAGAAGAAATGTCAACATCCACATGAGACGGAAAATTTTTCAAGGAAAAATCTCATCGCATGGGAATGCTGCCATTGCTTCATGGGACTGACTCTCTTGCGAGGCCGGAAGACTGGCGATGGTGTTTGACAATTCACCAAACAAAACGGGGTCCTCGAGCAATTGCGCAAACAACTCTTCGTCCAGCGGCGAAGGACAACGAAAATCAAACATTGAGGCTGGCTTCTCAACGGGGTAAGGTGGAATGGCAAAGGTCGACATGGGGGACGAAGCCGCCGATTGTTGCACGCAATCACTGGCAGGAGCAGTGACCGCACAGGCATCCTCCAAGCGGGGAGGGGTCAGCTGGCAAGCTTGCCAGCGCCGATCGACGTCATGAGCACCGTGGCTGTTCTTATCGACCACTGCCCATTTGGCAGGTGACTCAAGCGTCAAGTTCCAGGTGGACAAGAGATACGTCAACGCGTCAAACACGGGCTGGCGATGAGGAAAGTTCTTGGAATTGACCTTTCGCGAACTTGGAACAAACGCGGCGACAAATTGATTCCAAGTTTTCAAGTCACCATGACGAGCCTTGATCTGGATATCTTCACTCTCGAGGAACATGAAAGCTTCCAAGTCCTTGATAAAGTCGACCACAAAGCATGTCTGCTCCTGCTTGACAAAGTCGCGAAAGATGGCCTTGAGCGCCTTGGAGAAAAGGCGGCCATCCCCCAATTCAGCAAACTTGTCATGCTGACGAACAAAGCATGGCAAGCATTTGCCCAGGGCACCACAGGACGGCGAATCCTGGCAGACGAGATTGTCAACCGGAATCGGCTTCATCAAACGCTTGTTGGTCTCGGAGGAAGCCATGAACATGGCATTGGCTATGGCTTTGGTCAGCTCAGCATCTGTATTGCTTGCGCCTTCCATCATGACGGACCCGCAAACGACAGAACTACTTCCTTGACCTTGCGATGGAAGAAGATAAATGCCACCCGCCGAAGCTGAACCACGGAACGAGGCAAAGAATAAAAGGTGGGGAAGGTGGGGTGTCTAACACACACACGACACAGTGGCAAGCAAGCGGCTTGCCGCAGACACTTTGGCGCAGTGGAGGTGAATTTGAAACTTGAATTAAATTGTGCAGAAAAATAGCATTTGGTCTATAATGTGGGGTTTGGTTTGGGGTCGGGCGGATTCGAAAATCGCCGACACTTGGGCGGCCTCTGTCCACACACACACACACCACGTAAAGTGTCAACAACTTTCCGATCAGTGTTGGGCTCCTGACCACATCAGTCACACTCAGGCACAGGTGGGTGACGTCTCCAAAAAAGACAACAACTTTCTCCAACTTTCCACAACAAAGGTTGCAGCTTGCACCATCACAACGATCACAACGAACTCAACCTGTGTGTGCAAAGCGTCACAGCCTGACTCTGTCTCTGTCGGCGATGTGCGCTGTGGCTGTGTGGGCACTGGGACTGCGGTGGGCAAGCCGCTGCACACCGAGGCACGGGTCGTCCTTGGAGAGGCTCTGAACAAGCACCCTGATGCCTGGCTTGGGCTTGGGCATGAAGACCTGGCATGTCATGGAGACTGCCGAGCAACTCAATCAGCCCTGGGTCATGTGCGTGTGGACAAACCCTGCAGTCGCAATACGATTGTAACGTCAACTCATGCCCCGGCTGCCGTTTCATGGCTCGTGTGCAGCGCCGCTGTCTTCCTGCGTGTCGGCGGGATCACGGCCAACTGGGTGACCTACGATGTCTCAGATGCTTGCGAGCATGCCGAGCATGTCTCTCGGCCATCCCCCGGGACCGGGGCGACCACACCATGCAGCCCCGCAGCTGTGGGCAATTGGTGGCCCAATGTCCTCACCCAGTGCATGTACCGTCAGCTCCTCAACTTTTCCGTGGCGGCCAACGTCGAGCTGATGTTTGATCTCAACGAGCTCACGGGCCGCGACTGTCACGTGGACAATACCACGCACTGCGAGGGTGACTGGAACACCACCAACCTCGAGACCTTTCTTCGCTACCTCAAGGACGAGGACCTGATTTTTTCCTGATTGCGTGCCCTAATCAATGCCCCACCCTGGCTGATTGCCCAGTCATGGCGACAGTCCGTTTAGCTTGATCACACCGGGTCATTTGCACGACCAGACTGCGTTGTTGCCTTGATGCACCAGGGGCTCGCTGGGGCGGTCGTCGCCGATGCTACGGTTGAGAACCAGCCTGATGTGCTAGCCTACGCCTTTTGCGCGCGTGGTACGTCTTCGTGCCATCTGCTTAAAGCCCTGCCTTTCAATGAAACGATTCCCTCTCGCCTCTTCCTGACCCTTGGTGTGCTTTTTTTTTTTTTTTTTTACTGCTTGGTTAGATTCGCCTGACGTGGTGATCACCATTCTGAACCCAGGCAATTCGAGCACCACGCTGGCACTTGCAGGTTTGACCTCTACTTGTTTGAGAGCGCGACGGGTGACTTGTTAGCCAACCAGACCATGGACGATGGCCAACCAGACCATGGCCAATGGGGAATTGATGCAGCTGCTGCCTGATGGCTCTCCGACCCTGCCCCCGGCCGCTTCGACCAGTAGCCCCCAGCTGCCTCCACACACATTTGCCTTTGTCAGGACCCAGAACTGGAAAGCTGCTGCGTGCGTGTGAAAAAACCATTGCCGTTTCGTAGTATGTCGCTCAACTTGGCTTCATGCGCACGTCGGCTGTTGTCCATCGCCTACAAGTTGGGGCCGTGCCCCCTCTCCCACCCCGTGTGGTACATTGCAATGCCATGGGTGGTCGGTTCAATTTATGAGTTTTTGACCAGTTGTGGCAAATGAAGGGCATTCATCCGCTCTTCTCCAAAGAAAAAAAAAAAAAGAAAAAAAAAGAACAGTTAAAACTGCTTGAGGATGTTGCGGCGGATGAAGAAGTTGTCCTTGCGATCCGTCTTGACGTTGCCACCATCTGAATTAAACCAGGCAGCCACCATGAGACAAGACAGTATGGCGAGCACCAAAGGTCTACGAAGGCATCAAGCAAAAGTTGGTTCCGTCACAACACACATACCCAAGATGCGCTGAAGGCGTTCAAGCTCCTTGGCAGCGTAGCCATCGCCGTCAGACTTGATCTTCTCCATGACCTTAACGTAGTACTTGGCAAAGATGTCACCAAGCTCGTTGGCAATCTTCTGCGCCTCGGCCAAAAGGGTGTCACGGTCGCCAGAGACAAAGTTTTGCGCAAGCGCATCAAGGCGCTCGTGGCGGCCAGCCGTCTCGGCAAGCTCGCCGCCCTCAAGGCGTTGGGTACCCGCCTTCTCGTTCAGGAAGGTGAGGAAGCTTTGGAGCTCGCGTCCGCTGCTGTAGTCTTCAGCCTCAGTGCTGCCCTTGGGGAAAAACTTGAAGGTGGGAAAGCCCGAGACGCCAAACTTGCTGGCCAGCTCGGAATGCTTGTCCGCATCGACCTTGGCGACGACAACGTTCTCCTCATTGGCAAACGCGAGACCAGCCTTCTCGTAGATGGGCGCCACCGACTTGCAGTGACCGCACCACCTTAATGGAACCCAAATAGACACCAAGCAAAGCACGTTATGAGACGCATTGCTTCTCCACTATCAATCAAATTGCACGCGTGCGCTCTTCCGAAAAAAAAAAAAAAAAAACGTACGGGGCGTAAAACTCGACAAGGACATCCTTGTCAGTGTCCAGGGCAATGGCATCAAAGTTGGTGGGGTCCAAGACCTTCACATGGCTCACGTCTTGCTGGATGCGCGCGCGGTATCCGGTCTTCTGAAGCATAAAGTCAGCCAGATCGTTCAAAGCGCGGCCACCCTTATAGCTAAAAAAGGAAGATCATCCGAGCGTTATTAATCAAGAGGATCAAGAGCAAACACGCCAAAGTGAGCGAGCTTGAAAGAAGAGAATAAAAGTGTTGCCCTCCTTGTACGTTTGAAGAGATGGAGTCTTCCGAGGCGCGTGTGGTACACGTACTCTTCAGGCTCGGTCGAGCCCTTGGGGAAAAACTTGAGGGTCGGGAAACCTGGAAAGACACAGCGGAGGCAGTCGCGACAGCCAGGCAAGGTCAGTGCGATCATTAAAGAGACCAAGCCGCTCAAAGCCGCTCAAAGACGCATGATGTTTGCCATTGTTATCTCCCCTGCTGTTTAGCCAAGAGGAAAGGGGGAGGGGGCATCGGGCAGGAGACACGCACCAGTGACACCAAAGCGCGAGCCAAGGTCACGGTGCTCCGAAGCATCAACTTTGGCAATGATCACATCCTTTTGCGAGGCGTAGGCCGTGCCCAGCTCCTCCCAGGTTGGGGCGAGGCTCTTGCAGTGACCGCACCAGCTACGACAGGCAGGATCAGACAGGCGTGCACAAGGAAGTGAGCTGCGGAAAAAAACCCGCCTTGACCAACTGCCATTCCAGTGCGGTCCGAGCTAAATCACGAGCCAGCGCTGGGTCGCGCGTGTGTCGAGTGTAGGACATACGGGGCGAAAAACTCCACCAGAGCCGGGCGATCGCCGTTGATGATGTCATCAAAGGTATCCGGGGTCAGATCAATGACGTCCGAGGCAGTGGCCGCCGCCATAACGAGGGCGAGCACACCGGCTGCCAGCATGGAACGGATCATGGTCATGGTGACGTGTCGACCTTCAAAGGGAAAACTCAAACACGATCCGGTGCCGCGTTGGGAAAATGATGACAATTGCGTTCCCGCCAAAACATGAAGCTGTGTCAGGGGGTGTGTATCTGCTGTGTAAGCCTGTTTTACGTGAAGCGCCATGACTCGTCGTCGAACAAAGCTGACCCTGGCTCAAAACGGCAGACCGACCTCCACACACACACACACACGCCCATGCACACACACACACATATGAATACGTGTATATAGCGCATGCACCCAGTACCAAGACCCCTCAATGAACTGAAAACGCAGAAACACACACATCCTTGCTTGTTCAAGCAGCTTGTGCTGA